TTTCTTCATATACACCCTCAAACTACGGACTTGTTTCTATGATATCGCACGATCTTCGTTCCTCATTCAATGATTTGGAAAAGAAATATGGTTTTATTTTTATTTATTTATTTATTTTAACCAACATATTTTTTCTACTTCCCGCCATATTTCTCAGACTCGCAATGGAGAAATGTTTAAAAAAAAAAAAAATTAAATCTTAACGATAACAAAACAACTTTGCTCGACGGCGGCGGCTGCTGCTGCTGTTTATGACGTATGATAGGGGAAATCCACCGAAAAAGACTCTCCCCAGCCACCTCCTCTTTTTATTTTTTTTTCCTCGATCTAAATATGTCTTCTGACTAGACTGAAGTATTTTTTTTTTTTTTTTTTTTTGTTCAAGCATGGGTTTCCCGTAACTGGTAATCCCATAAAGGAAGGAAAACACAAGTGCTGGTGAAATTACCGTCATTAGCATCTGAAAATATTAAATTCACTAACCTCAAGTGTTTAGCTTGCGTCATGGATATCTTCTCTCCTAATTTTTTTTTTTTTTTTTTTTTTTTCTTCTTCTTCCTTCTTACTTATTCGTCAGTTATTCCGTACTATCGTCCTTCCTGGTTTTACATATACAATGTAAATATACAAATAGGCTATGATGTTATTGAAGGAAAAAAATATGGAAGAAAAACAAATATCGAGACGCTACATATGAGGAGATGAATGAAAAAAAAATGTTTTTGATTTTATCGCTAATAATTATCGGCTATATCTCGTACACTTTTCCCGCCAATAACATTTAAAAAAAAAATGCATATTTTTAAAAATTGTTTTTTCTGTGATCATGACAAGGTTTCATCGGATAGTATGAATCGGGTTATGGTTTGTTTACAGTTTTATGCTTGTGACAACGTTTCATTATTTACATTTTTAAAACTTTTCATCTTATTGGCTGTGATTAAATTCTTTAAATTATTCATAAAATAGGATTAATTGATTAATATAATTATTTCTTTATTACTTTTTCCTGTCTAAGCTTTTATGAGTACACTTACTTAATAGTTTCAGATATTCCTCGTTAAGGATTATTACGTTCTGACATGTGAATTTTTTTTTTTTTTTTTTTTGCTTACGCAAGTAGACTATTTTTTATCTCTTACATAAGCTCCTAAATTTGCAATTAAATCTGTTTCGGTTTCCACATACAAAACATTAGTAATAAATAAGAATTAAGATTCGTTAGTTTTTTTTTATTTATTTATCTTCTTTTTTTAAACCGTTCTTGGGAATAAAGTGGAGTTAAATTTGGTATAAATCTGATCAGTGGGTTTATTGTTTTGGTCCGATTGTCTGTCTTGAACAAAATAAAGAAAGGAAATTTGCAAACACTAAATGTGTGTGTGTGTGTGTGTGTGTGATCCGATTGAGAATAGCGGTTAATTTTTTTTATTTTTTAAACAACAAAAGATGCTGCAAGAAAGGTTGGTTTATTTGAATCGCTCCAGGGAAATACCTAACTCCTGTTGCCGCGTTTGTCTTTTACAAGAGTTAGATCAGAGCAATAAGGGAGTATTGCTGCAATATCTGGGCTAGTGATGTTCAGTTCGACAGAGTTCCAAACCGATTACAATTGACAACTACAATAAAGTTCAGAGCCAACCAAAATCCGCCCTAAAGACCTGTACACTTCTTACTACGTTTAAAACCCTTTTGCTCAGTAATAATTTACTGTAAGTGACCCTTGTATTGGCTGAATTAGCGCTAACACCCCCTCCACACACACACACCAAAAAAAGCAATATATTCTTGCAAAGTACGGGTGTTACATTCAGCTAAGATTTTTTTTTTCATAGTTTAGTCCGATATGAAGTGTCCTCATTTGAAACGGCGTTCGCTCTTTATTTTATTTAATTTTTATCAAATTCGATTATTGTTTCTCTTCACTTGTCTGTACGCGTGACAATTTTTGTATTAATCGCTATATTGGTTAGTTTTTTTTTTTTTTTCTCTCTCTAGAAGACTAAGTTGTCTCCAATCTTCAGGATTTGTCTTATTTTGTCTTGTATTGCTTAGGTGTCATTTCCCTTAGAAGCCCGTGGATGGGCATCATGTCATAGGTAATACCTGGGATCAAGCTGCCAGAGAAACTGTCATTAAGTATAACTCGACGTGGCGCCGATGCCTCGGTGTTGAAAAGGTCCAAGAGGAAGCCCAACGCACTGAAAGGTAACACGGCATCAAATCTGCTGGAAGCTAAACGCGCTAAAGTTAGCTTATTTTTTTTTTTTTTTTTTTTTTTTTTTTGGCTTTATTAATTAATTTCATTCTAAATTCTTTAAATCAATGCTTTGGTCTGATTAGTTTTTTATTTTTTATTTTACGCTGTCGTTTCTATTGCATTTCTTTAAACCTGTTTCTCTTCCAGGAAACATCTCGGTTATTTGCTTTTTAACTATATTTATGATGCTGTTTGACGTAAAAGCCACAAACGTAGGGATGTTCAGTGAGGATCGATTTTGCTACAGAAATAATGGTCCGGGACGTGCTTGCTAAGAACGAATCGCTCTAGTCATACTACCAATATTTAAAAAAAAAAAAAAAACAACAAAAAAAAAAACAACTTGTGTATTAATAGGTGAAATGTTTTTGTTTTCTCTTGTTTAAAGGATTTCTAAAGCTAAACTTGTGCGTCGGGGGTCTATTTTATAAAGATTCGTTCTCTTGTCATTGTTTCCACGGCTGAGATATTTGATCTGAATATTTCTTGATCGAATATTTAAGTTAATATTGTACAAATATAGCACACGGCCTCAAGGTGGAGGGTTTATGTTCACTGACCCATCTACTTGACTATTTTCAGAGTGCAATCTCATTCATTTTGCACACTCTTACAGCAGACGCACCAATACTGCATTTACTTTATGCGATTCGAACTAATCCTACATATACGATTAAGGAATTAATTTCACCTATTTTTATGTACTTTATACGTACACCTTTTTCCAGGGAGTGGGAGAAGTAACACAAATTACGGTTACGCGTGCGCACATACATAAAATAAGTATTGACCAATCAAATGCTTCTGTTTGATAACCTCATGACGTCCCCTTAATAACCAAGGCAACTCTCCTTTTTGCTTAGTCGTACAATAAACTATTGGTCATCAGCTCGTCCCCCCACCCCATGAGTACAAACGTCCTGACTATAATTGTTGCTGCAGTAACAAGTGTGCGACGATAAAAGGTCTGACCCACCAGCCCTTCGGGTTGCTGGTTTCCATCTTTTGATATACACTCCACGCTTGGAAGATAATCGTTAAAGACTCGATTCCTTTGGACACTTTCTTTTACGTTGTTACCAGCTGTGGATCATAAAAGTAAACCGAACCGATTTGACAAGTGCAGAAAGACCCGACTCTAGCAAGTACAAATTTTAGGTAATTTTTTGAAGTGGTGTTTACTACGTAGTGTATGTTTTTTGTTCGTTTTTTTTTCTTCTCAGAAGCACCTGCTTTATAAGCTTGCTTTTTCGTAGAGTGATTTCAATTTGCATGCAATTTCCATCGCTAATCTTTACATTTCAGATATTCATGAAAAATGTATGCAAGAAGCATTTTCCCCTTCCTAAACTTTTAAAACATATGCTTCGAAGTTCGAATTTATTTTATATTTACATATTTCTATTAATTTTTAAATATCTCAAACTGTATTGTGTCCCTTGAGAACGTAAGCTATCATGGCTCTCCCCAATTTCCTATTCTTCGTAGTTCTTAATAAATGCTGTCTTTCTGTTAAACCTTGTTCCGCCATCCATTTAAACAAACTCACTAAGTAGGTTGTTTTCCTACGTCTCTCTTGCCTTTTTTTTCTCCTGTGAGTATCAGATTTTCCAAGCCCTTTTCCTAATGTGCCCTAGAAGCCTCAATTGTGTCATCCTGATGCTAATAAGTGTTTTGTTTCTATTTTCTCTAAAACTTCGTTGCTCCCGTGTTCGGTCCATGGTATCCTCAATATCCTTCTGTAAGGTCACATTTCAAATTACCAGAATAATTTTAAATGTTTTTATCTCCTGGCTAAGCTCTTAATATCAAATTGCTGCATTTAGATTTTACTGCAGTTAAAATCTTTAAATGTCAAAACTTTGTAACTGAATCATTTTTTTAATTCTCTTAATTAAAAAAAAAAAAAAAAAAAAATTAAACTGCTCGCATGTCTTTATCTGCAATTGCCAATTTATGGATTTATAATTTAAATCTTCTAAAAGATACAAAATAAAATCTTTGATTTATTTTTTCGTTACATGACCGTTATATTTAAACGGAAAATTAACTTCATTGAAAACTAAAGCATTCTTAAAACAAGTATAAATTTTGCTTCGTTTTGAAAGAGGTTTTTCTCTAGGGTACCATCGTACAAATAGATTATGCTGAAAACTTCTTAGCTTGAACCACTTTCCCTAAATAAGACCAAATAAAATTCTTAGAATCTCTTCTTGGTCGGACCGGCACTTTTTTTTTTTTTTTGTATCGACGTATATTCTATTTGATACTTTCGACAATTACATAGAATATATTCTGATATTTGAGATTAGGTAATTTGAAATATTTTTACCTTTTCTCACAAATGTTTTTACTAACTTGTGTAGGTAATATTTAACGCCAATTGATTGATATCTTAGCATTTCCTTAACTTAAATTTTGAAAATGTTTCTTTCTGTAACTATTATACATGCGATCTAAAAGCGCTGGATATTAACGCCAGATTTAATAAATAATTGGGAATTGTTTTAATTTTCCTTGGTCTCTTTAACGATTTATATTGCAGACAATTTTTAGGTGCCGGGGGGGGGTGTATTTGTATTTTTTTTTTTTTTTTTCTGTGACTTTCAGTATTTGAAAACCTATTGCTTTTTATTTACTTTATTTCATTATTTTTATTTTTTTTTTTTTACTTTCAGGATTTAAACAATAATTCAAAATGCTGATGGTTTACTTGGCGACATTTACGATCATTTTGGCAATGATCTACATGCGATATTTCATCCGAAGACGGTGAGTACTTTTTTGCTACAGTCACGTTTAATACCCGAAAACTCTACCAGCCATGTTTTCGCAAGCGGGGGGAGGTAGCATAAAATTCTCCTCAGAAACGTTCTAATTTGAAGCTAAAAGATTTTAAATAATCGCAATTTGATGTAAAAATAGCTAAAATTATTTAGCATCTGTTAATTAAATTGATTTTACTGTTATTACCAGACGTCAATTAACTAATTGGAACAGATGAAGATATTCGTATGAATAACACTAATATCCGGCCGAAAAATTTGAATAATTGACTTTTCTATTTTTGTTCTTGATTCTGGAGAAAAATATAAAATTAAACCTTTCATACTGATATCTGTGGTGTTGCTATGTTTTTACACTAAACTTATTTTCTATTGTGTTAAATACTAAATAAAATAGGTTAAAAATGATAGAAAATAAATCGAACACTGAAATTACTTTTTGCTTTTTGTAATATTTATTTGTACCAGAGTTTTTCTCTTATTTGCTAAAAAAATTCGAATCCCTTCCACAAATAAATCCTTTAAAGATAATAGACTCGATATGATATATATATATATATATATATGTGTGTGTTTGTATGCACATTTCATTGAATACGATAGACAAGGTGCTTTGATTTATTTATTTTTTTTTTATACAATTTCTCCAGCGATCTAATTTGTTTTTCTTTTCAGATAAATTATATAACAACTTATTTAACAGTTGAAATATTTAATCCTTGAAAATGGCTAAATGTATTACCGAAAGCGCTCGGATATAAAGAACATTCGGACAGTTTTTATATATTTATCTGAAAAGAAAAAAAAATACTAGATCACAGGAGAAATTGTATTAAAAAAAAAAAAAAAAAAAAAGTACTAAATCAAAGCACTTTGTCTGTCGTATTCAGTGAGATATATATATATATATATATATATATAATATAATTTTGAAATGCTAATCTAGAATTTTTTGATTTTTAAAGATTTAAAACTTACTAAAATAATCTCGTTTATGTAAGTTTCCTTTTCAAAATTTTAAAGGAAAAGGGTAGTAGTAAATTGAATTCGAAAAGTAAAGACAACTGAATTAAGTGGATTAGAAATCATTTCACCGCTGATGCATGAATATAAAAATAAGGGGTTAAGTCCCTTCGCTTTGCTTTTTGTTTAAAATATTAACGTATAATACAGCTTATACAGATTTACAACAAAATCGTTTTAAGGATTGGATATCAAAATTGTACCTTAATTTTTCAATGGGGCCACTATGGAAAATATACTTAAAAATCTTTAGAAAGACTGTTAAAAGTAATTTTAATTAAACGGTGAAAAAGCAAAAACTGAAACTAAGAAGAAAAGGATTTTTTTTTTCTTAGAAAAAAATTAACCCTACTTTAGACTTTCGTTTTAATTAAAGGATATTTTCCACATTTGCAACCTTAAGATTCTCAAACGTGATACAAATAAACTAAAAGCGAAAGCATGTGTCCCTTGCATTTTAAAACAAGGACTCTCTCATCGTCATTGTATGAGCGTCCAACAGTTCAGCCTAGAAATGACCAGTCAAGCTACCTGCACATGATTATAATAGTGAAGGCTTGTACAGAACCATCTAGGCTACACTTTGGATATAGAACCATACTACGAGATTCCCCACCTCCACCAAAACAGCCCTCCTCGTGTTTCGAATTAAGACTAGCCTTTCTCTCAGACTGGTTTCCAACCAAGGATAAACGGCCCAGTAAGTCCTACTTAACCCATAATTAGGAGGATGGATCCTTTCAGAGGTTATTTGCGCGTAAGTAAATGTTACGAACCCGGCTGGAATTTGAACCCGGCTCCCTGATTTCTCATTCTTAGTCGCAATCCATTGTACGAAACGCATATACATGCTTATACAAGACCGTATCTGCTGTACTGTTACCAAGTTGGTTTCTCAGATAGTTGCCAAATAGCGTCTGGCATTATCGCAACCCTCTTAACAAATAATGCAGCCTTGATTTGTTCTAGTTAATAGGTATTAAAATTAATAAAAAAAAAAAAAAATACTCTTCGGTTTCTTTCGTAACAAATCCTTTACAAGTTCACATAGTTTACTGTGAAATATTCCCGCAACCTTTATTCGGCATTAATTATATACCTATATATTTTTTATTTATTTATATTATATTGTTTTTATTTATTTTTTTCTTTTTAGTCGAGATGGAGAGCCTGACATAGTACCGGGTCATTTCCTTTGGGGCAACGGTGAGAGTTTTCAAAAGAACGCAGTCGATTTCTTGCACCAATGCCGAAAAAACCATGGAGAAATATTTACCATTCGCTTCTTTCACCAGCGACTCACTATCATTATGGATCCCCACAGCTTGGAAGCAATGAGCAAAGAACGTAAATTTGACTTTGACCCTATCCAACGACAGGTTAACTCCAACGTTTTCAATTTTGTATTGATCAACGCCCGAAAAATGATCAAAGAGGCCGGTAAAACGGTGCGTGGTTCCTATCTGGGCACTAGCATGCGACGCTACGCTAATCACCTTGAGGATGCTTTCAGATCCGTTCTAAAAACAGACAGTAACGAAAATGTCCCGTCTAACCAGACGGATGGCCTTCGCAAATTTGTCTCCAAGACCAATTTTGCAGCCATGTTCTACACCATTTTCGGACGTAGCGATAACTCCGACTTCGAGCCAGTCACTGTCTACCAATGTTTCGATGTTTTCCACCAGTATTTCAATTACTTGTGGCTCGGCATGCCCATCATGCTTTTTCCTAAGGCAGTGAAGGCTCTTGAGGTCCTTTGTAAACAACCCAAATCGGATGAGATCCTGGCACGCGAAGATCTTTCAGACTACATAAGGTACTCTACCGAATTCATGAAGTCACATGGCCAGACGGAGCAAGATATTATGGGCCACAATCTAGTTTATCTGCACGTCAATTACAACACGTTCCGCTTATCGTTCTGGTGTATTTACTACTTACTTGATGATGAAAAAGCATATCAGACACTATATAACGAAATCACTACAGCCATCAACGAAAAATGTGTACAGAGAAACGAAAATGAAACTGGCCCAATTGTTTTTAATTACCAAGAAATCGAAAAATTACCGGTTTTAGGTAAGTTGAATTGTATCATCTTGCGATTTGTTTGTCTTAATTTATTTTCCATTTATGTGCGTCTAAATTTAAAGAACTGTAAGTGTTGTCTGCGATACAGATAACTGACTTCTATAGTAATTAAAAATCAAATGAAATTGGTTTGTAAGTGCAACTAATATTCTATTGCAAAATCTCCGATTTTAATAATTCACTGACTATGGTGAATTAGCATAATACAAATTTTCATTTTACTGTGATTAAAATTTATTTAAAATGCAAACTACATGCAGATCATTAAAGGACTTTTAAAGTAGAAATCGGTGAAAATTCTTTTCTCTTTTGCATCTCAAAAACAAACATCCTCTGACTTTAATATCGAACGTCTCTTAATTCATTTAGTTACATTAGGAAATCATATCGTATTATAATATTGCCTTTGCGGTTTGAATTTATTTTCCAAACTTACAATATAATCAGTTATTAAATACTAAAAATTAAGTTGAAGTAAGGCATGAATTAGATTTTATTTTTGTGTATAATATATCACCCAGTGCTTTCGCTGATCTAATGTTAATCTTTATCCTGGTTATTACAGATAGCGTTGTACAAGAAACATTAAGAATGTGCAGCGGCGTGTTCATGGTTCGTTATGTGACTGAAGATTGCGATTTCAAAATGGATAATGGAGAAGTCTACCGAATTCGCAAAGGAGACAGGGTTGCCATTTACCCACCGGCTATTCACAAAGATCCCGAAATCTTTGAAGACCCACTCGTAAGTTTCTTTTTTGACTCTCTTTATTTTTTTTTTTTTTTTTTTTTTTTTTTTTAATAGTAAAAGTCACAAGACGTTAGATGCAGGATAAAGTTGCTTCGTATACGTTTTCTGCCTCTTTAGAATTACCTTTTAGTTTCAAGCAAAATATTACTGCAATAAGTTTACTGACTAATGACTCGTTATCGTTGAAGCCCTACCAAACCCGCTGTCAAAAGAAAAACGCATTGTTTATCTGCTTAGTCGCATCAGTCTATACATGCATTTCGGGCGAGATGGTGTGGAGTGATCTTAATTCATAATATTCTAATTACGCGGTTTCTAAATTTAATTTTTTTTTTAATTTCTTTGTATGATGGACGGTTAAGTTATATCACGAAAAGCCGCCCGCAGACGAGAGGTCGGCAAGAACATTCGTTTGCACATGGAGTCTGTCAGACTGGCTCCATTGCAATGGCTGCCTCTCCTTCTCGTCAGCGCATCATTTTTTTTTTTTTTTTTTATATAAGCGGCTAATCTTGGTATAATTTCAAAAAATTAAACCTAAAGACACTTCCTCTCCCGCCCTCGCATTCCCTTGTTCGCTCTCTTTCCTCTTCTTTCAATTATTTGCTTTCTCTCTTCCTTCCTTCTTTCTTTTTAACGATATCCTATTATTCGGATTCCTATCATCATGCGTGCGACTGGCATCAAAAAGTTCGTAGCCTGACACGTAGTTGTTTTGGTTTGAACATTTTCACTGTATAATGTTCTATGTATATGACTGATATATGCCACTAGAATTATGTGCATTGACAAAACCTGACATACTCGATTTAGTGCTCGGAGTGGTGCGTATACAAAACAATTTTTTAAAAGCTTTTTTTTTATTAATGTGTCCCTTTCGTGTCTCGAATATATTCGTTTAGTCACTCTTTTGGGGCCCATTATTTTCAAATTCTTTAGAAATGAAAGGCACTAAACGAAGCAAAGTAATTTTATTTATTTAGCATTATGCTACGGATTATATATATAAACGTTTTAGTGGTGTTTTTAATTTCAAAATGGCTTCTCTCACTAATTTTTGAAAATGCAGCATATTTTTTTTCCTCAGAAAGTAGTCGTTTTGGGGTTAGACTTTATTTGAAAGGCTTACAAACCTCTAATGGATGACTAAGGAGTGAAATTTACTTGTGATATCATATCCCGTTTTAACAGACGAACAGAGGGAATAGACTGTCAATAAATGTCTGGAATCTTGCTTTTGTTTTCTATCTTGTTTGGTTGTTAGTGTTTTAATAAACTTTGATTATCATTATATATATATATATATATATATATTATAATATTTCTCTTCAAACCCGAGTAACTGTTTATGTAATCGTCAGCCACTGGCCTGATTTATGAACGAACGTACATTACTGTAATGTAACTTGGCCGAATATATTTTTGTTGAACCCTCTGCTCAATATTTATAAAAAGAGATTGTTTTAGATTAGCGTGAAGTGCAACTGTTAGTTTGACAGGATTGCTACAGCCAGGTGCATTCCCTTGCTTCGACACTTATTTGTACTTAGACACGCGGGAATAAGTGCGCGGTTGTCAGTATAAAACTGAGGTTTTAAAAGAATGAAAAACTAGAAGATTCTTAATTCCAATTATCTCTCACATGCGATAGCATAAGCAGGAATAAGTATGTGGATGAAAGTATCTCGTATATAAATTTTCTGTCTGCTATATTCGTTGAAATATTTTAAAGTGGTTGAGAGCTATTTCATTACGCATCTTAACTCTCTTCCGTTCAGAGACGATTTTCTAACAATAACCAATATTTTTTCACGAACTCTCCTAAATTCTCCCATAAAACTTCTACAGAGTGGTCTGAAAGTCTTGTCACCCGCCTTTACCAAAAAGTGATGAACAATATGAGTAATACAAAGAACATGTACTGGATTCAATTTGACTTTTATTGACGCTCTCTGACACCGAGAAGGTCTGTATGAACACCATTTGAGCCATCCGAAATAGAAAATTATATTATGTAGGAGATGACAAGATTTTCAGACCACCCTGTAGAACTAAGCCTTATTTACGACTATTAAGTTTGGCATTATCTTCAAATTGAGGATAGCTCACCACCTGAAATCAGCATTTAAAGCTTATGTAACAACCTTCGAATATGCTTAAATCAGGAGAAATTCGCAACTATTAAAAAAAGGCAAATGCAATTCTTATGAGATTTGGTACTTAGGTTTTACGAATTTAAACGCAATGCGAGATTGGCGGCAATTTCTCATTTAACAGTTGAAATGGCTGGATGTAACCGTAAGATCTGTTAAGTTTTTTGCATTTTTCCCCTTTAACCTTTTTTCCGGCCTCTTGTTTTCCAATCAATTTTCCATTTCAGTCTTTGAAGATCAATATGTATCGTTCTCTCTCTCTCTCTCGTTAATACTTCCTCTTTCATATTCTCTTACACTCAGTAACCCCTTGTGTTGCAGTGACATTATTACCATATTTAATTTTTTTTTTTTTTTTCTTAAATTCTCACCGAATAATGTACGTTAAATCTAAATAACCTTACTTTTATTTACGGATTCAATCTTTTTATTCATTGCAGACATACAAATTCGACCGCTTTATCGATGCGAAATTCTACAAGAACAACAAGGAGATAAAGAACCCTGTACTCACTTTTGGTACCCTTTGTCCAGGTAAACGGTATGCACTTCTGCAAGCGAAATGGTACATCTTCAGTCAAATGAACAAATTCAAAATGTCACTCGCCGCCGGCCAGAAGGCTGAAATGGACATTAACTACCATGGGCACGAAATCCTTCCACCAGTTAAAGATATTGATATTCACTTCAAGTTGAGAGAAGGCCATCAAGAAATTACAATGCAATGAGAAGAATCTGAATTTAAAAAAAAGAAAAATACAATTAAGGACATTCATTATATGCATAAAACAAAAATATGCATCCCCCCCCACTACAAAAAAAGAAAAACTGACAAAAAAAAATCTATATGTATGGGTTTTATACTAATACAGTTTGAGACTGAACCTTTCATAGTGCTAACAAAAGTGGGGAACAAGTCTCTCTAATTTAAATATTGATGTCTATCTACAAAAGATACGATGAAGTCGTAGGCAGATATTAGACTTTTGTGAAATAACAGGGGCAGTTTATTGGGTGGGGGTGGTGAATGAAAACAAACAGCACCAGTAACATTTTTTTTTTCCTTTTCAAGTCAAAAAAACCCCCAAAAAACAAAAGAAAAGGAAACTCGTGAAACAGATTACTGTTTTAATTAATTTATCCTCTATTTATTGTATTATTTATTGCTACACTCCGAATCTTCTTCGCTTCCAACACATGAGAAGAAAGGAAAAACAATGTAATTGTCAAATTAATTTTTAACAAAGAAAAAAAAAAACAGCCATAGAGTGGATTGAACTGTATTGAATTTTTATTTTAGTTATGATCAGTAACCACTCTAATTCCCCAGCCCCTCTCTCTCTCTAATAATATATATATATATATATAAGCTACGCATTTTTGTTGATTCAATTATTTTTCCAATTTCGGGTCTCTTGAATTTTTTTATTATTTAATTAAATAACTTATTTAAAAACAATTCTTTTGTATTGCAAACTGGCTACGATAGTAAGTCTTTAAAAGGCATTAATTTAGGGGTTGAAACCACCGTTTAATACATGGCTATTAGCTCTGTGTGAGAGAGAGAGATTGATAGATATATATATATATATATATATATATATATATATATATATATGTGTGTGTGCTCAGTTTGAGTTTATGCGAGTAAGTAGGCGTAATGAAAATTTTTACTAAAGTTTAAAATGCATTTTTTTTTTTTTTTTTTTTTTTGTGTGCGTGTTGTACAAAACAATACGCACTGCTCTTCACCGTCACCCCCTTAAAGTCTAATTATGTTTCTTAGCAGAAACAAAGCTGGTAATGAATATTGACTTTTTTTTTTTCTTTTTTTTTTTTTTTTTTAAATTTCTACTATATCCTGCATATTTCTCTACGGGTAAAACTTACAAATAGCCTTGGTAAATATATAGTCATTAGAATGATACTGGTTTGCAATATAGAAGAATCTATTTTAGTAATAAATGGCTTATCTGATATATTTTTTTTCTTTTAAAGGTGAAATGCAATTAGTTCATAAAAGTTACGTAACAAAAACTTTTTTTTTTAACGAATCCAAAACCAATAGAAATTTTTAACGCTAGAATCCAAATTCGAAACCTTTTCATCAGTGTGTGTATATATATATATATATATATATATATATATATATATATATATATATATATATACCTAACTGACTTATTTATATATACAACAGTTATACTAAAGTTTTTTGCTTTTTTTTTTTTTTTTTTTTAAATACCCCGTATAGTTTGCTTATAAAATTCTAAAATTTTTAAAACCATTTTGTTTAGGTATTTTTTTGTTAACTAGGATTTTATTCTAATGTTTGTTATTTTTGTTGTTTTCTTTTTTTTTCCTGACTTAATACAAATCTAGCATCTAGCTAACCTGTATTAGGACATCTATTGAAGGTATTTAATATAAGTATTTGCTCTTTTCAAGACTTTTCTCACCGTGATCAAGAAATCCATGATGTAAAAATTCGCCCTTCACATATCAGTTTCATTGCTTGAACAATATTTTAACAAATATTTTATTTCGTCATTGTATTCCCACCCCGCCAATGTTTCGTTGTAGTTGTTCTTTATTATGTCTAAAACAAAACATTCTCTGAATTTTTAGTCTTCTAATTCCGTAATTAAAATATTGTATAAAAGAAACATATATATATATATATATATATATATATATAAACGTAATAAAAAAAAAAATCCCGCTCTATTAATAAGATAGTTTTGAAATTAACCGGGTTAACTTAAAATTTCGTCTGTTAAATCGCTCTTAGTTTCGCTTGATTCCAACTTTTCGATAACTGTAAGGAAATTGACAGCTGGTTTTCTCGTAGTTAACCATTTAGTTTTTTTAGTTTCAAAATTAAGACAAATTTAAAATGTTTTTAACATGCAGATTTTTTTTTTTTTTTGGTTAAACTGTGCCTTTTAACTTTTTTTTTTTTTTTTTTTTTTTTCTTTTAAAGCAATTGCAATGTTAAATAAGCAAATTACGTTATGGTTGCTCAACGTGCTCCAATCTAACGTACTGGCGCAAAAGTCCTACGTTTAGCAACAATACTACCAAGCAAATAGCAATACAGTGTGAAAAAAAAACAAAACTGCATTTATAGCTAGGCACAATTTGTCTTTGATCTTGTTTGTATTGCTAAAGCAACAGACAAGAAAACCACCTTTTGAAACTTTCACCATATATATATATTTCTGTATGGTGGGTTTAATTAGGGGTAGGGTAATTCTACATATGTTGTAATATAAAAATGATTACTGGTGTGAATAATTTGCAATTAACAATTTTTAAAAAGAAGAGAAATACAGAATATTTTGTTTTTGTCCAACGAGCTGGTCCTTGAGAGCGTGTTAGTCTTTTAATACAAAACCAGCATTCTCATATTTTAAGTTTTATATTTTTCGAAACTACACTTAGTTTAGTGTGTATAATGTAAACTCTGCATGTACACTATTTTTGTTTTCCGTCTCTTTCATCGTATCGCTTATTTCATGGCCCTGTTCAAACGTGGTAGCACAATGGTTGTGGTCTTAAACTAGTGTACACAGGTTCTAACACATTTTCAGAATAACTCGCCTAATTAAGAAATACCTGATCCTGGCAAAGTTACCTGTCTCTTTTCATTTTCTTAGCGATCAGTCTTGTAAAATCTGCATGTCTTGAAGCTAACTGTATTTTCAAAGTATTATTTATTTTTATTTATTTTTTTTCTCTTTTGACGTATTTTAATATTTAATTCTTTATTTATTGGCAATAATGAAAATAATTTCAGGTGTAAAAAGTGAGTTTTTGATTGTAAATTTGCTGTTGGCGAGTGGAAATTCACGTTGAATTTACAGGTGTTATGAATCTACACTTGTTTTAAATAGATAATTGCCCCCCTCCTTAAGTGTAGGACTATTATGTACAGCAAAAAAATTGTGTTTATCTGAAATATCTATACAGATTAAAGGAACAAAAAACCAAGGGAAAAGAAATACACACTGAATTCTTTTTCGTGTATTGTGATAAGTTTCCTTTTATACTATTTTTTTTTTCTCTCATCACATTCATTCATAATCATCACCACCACTAGCTATGAAATCAGTACTGTTTTAATATCAAATACAATATTTCAAACTGACTGATATTTGTCTTTGTATGGAACAAGACAAAAATAGCGGGTGTAGGAAGATTGTGTTAAACTAATCTTCCAACTGGGGAGGGGCTTCCAGGCTTGAAGGTCAGCATTCTCAACCCTAACTTTTACTTAATCTTAAATAGCGACCAATGAGTACGCATCTATCTCAGCCACGAGGCAACCTCCCTCACCACTTTAAACTACTATTGTAATTATACTAGTAGAAGTAGTACGTGTAAACAAAACATAAATTTCACACAAATTGATCAATTATTCCACCCATTAGAAAGATGTTTGCATCTTTTTTTAAGTATATATATATATATATATATATATATATATATATATATATATATATGGTGTTTTTTATTCAGCCTTACACACATATACACTCATGTAAATTATTATTTAACACTATTATTTAAAAATAATTTATGCATTTTCACTAGATCAATCTGTCAAAATGTTTAAATACATTTTTATTTATTTTATCACTTTTACAGTCGTACGATACTTGCCCATCTCTGAGAAAACACGCATACTTAAACGCCCCCCGCCCCGTTTAGTAAACGCATCTTATTTATTTTATTTTTAAATCTACCCAACAACTTTGTCCTGTTTATTTATTAGTTTCAAAATACATAATCAATTACCAATTTAAGAGAATCACTTATTTATAAATATCTCTAGAAGTATGTTAGTGACTTGTCATTCACGTCATCGACCAACTTTCACTCATTCTGAAAGACTTTTCCTTTCAACCTTTGATCCATTCTATGTATGTGTCTTCTGAACATTCAACTCACTTGTACAAATTAACCATTCTCACTATCATCATAACCTTTTTTTTCCTCTCTCTTTCTCTCTTTCTCCTTCTGTCCTAAGAAAATGAGATCAACGCCATTTTATTTATTAATGAACTCTCCTTATTTATTGATTACAATAATAATAATAATAATGAATGTATATGGTGCTTATTTAAAAATGTTAGAATCTTTCTTAAATAAATTTTTTTATCAAATTAAAGACTCTTGTTTTCTTTCTTTGTTTCTTTGTATTATGCATTTACAAATTGCGTAAGCTGAGCATGGCTTCAAAAGTAAAATCTTGATTTTTGAATTACAGCAGATGATAATGGATCCATCGTTATACGCCTGGAATATTTATACTTTGCTTGCTTGCTTTTTTTTTTTTTTTTTTTTTTTTTGTGTGTGTGTGTGTTTGGATTTTTTTTTTTTTTTTTTTTTTTTTTTTTTTTTTTGTTAATCCCAAATCAAATACGTCGCAGAATGTGCGTTTCTTGTTGCCGACTCTTCATCCTCTGAGAAATATCTTTTATCGGACGGTAAAAACTGATTGTCACCCTATTAACTTGACTCGAAAGACTATAGAAAAGATTCTCGAATTTTGTCTCGCACGTACCCTTTCATTTCATTTTTTTTAGATTAGCGTACCTTTTTGAGGACGTAGTCGAAGGGTAACTGTCCAGTCTGGACGTGAAAACGATGATGTAAGGAATAATAAAGAACGCAAGTGTATATACATAGATATGTTTCTGAATAATCAAGAAAAGGAGGGTGT